GCACATACGACAATTCCTCCATGAAAAAAATGTGTAACTAGGAAGTTTGACGTTTTAGCCGTACAAAACAGCGTTGTAGTCGTGCAAAACAACAACAAGGGAAAGACAAAAAAGCGTGCTACGTGCAAATTTTTTTTTTGCTAATTAGAAGAAAAAGTGTGCTGCACGTGCAATTTGTTTGTTTTTTTTTGTTTTTGCTAATTACATCTATTAGTCTTGAAGCCATATTCATTGTCGTCCGCGTTTAGCATTACACGATTTAATTTTTTTTGTTTACACGTATCATTAACCAGAGCTTCGCTATTAGCCCTGGCTAAATCTATATATTAGCGGAGCTCCACCCGCGCGCGAAGCGCGCGCGTGGACGGAGCCCCATAGCTAAGGAAATGTGGTAATCTACCCATCCGAGAAAATCTGGTAATCACGTGACCGTACGCCCGACCGTCCGTCCGCACCACAGGGAAACCAATGTTTACTCTCACACTTTCTAGCTAGTTTGGGAGCCCAATAGAAAACTAATTGCACATCAATGTTGTGATCAATTGACAGCTGTCAAAACAGGATATCCGCTGACCAGTATCACCTGACCGTAGCGCGGGCTCAAGTGTCGACCCATCGAGGTCAAGTACTTTTTTGAAGTTATCCGCTGACAAATTACCAGTTTCAAATGATCGCAGGCTCAAGTCTATTTTTTCCAATGATTCATATGAAATATGTTGTGTTTATGTCACTATATCCCCGCACTGTCAAGATTTTGATTTCAAACTGACCTCGGACGCGAAAATTTAGCCACTTTTTTAAAAATAAAGGCGGGGAAGACCTATCTTACCATGGTCACGCGTTGGTCACGCTCTACGTCCAATTTTTGTACTCTGATTTGTCAAAATTTGACAGGTGAGTTCATGCGGAAAATTTATGCAGCATCTTGAAAGTTGTTTATTTTTTCAGCTAAAGCTGACAGAGTTTTGTGTCAACTTGTGATGTTTTTAACTGTCTTTTTCCACTGGATGTACAAAATGAAATACAGCTACTATCAAGAGTCTTCTGTTATCCATGGCTGGTTTGTTTATTGGGTTTTTGGTTGAGAAATGCGTCGCTTGTCAAAATTGGGTAATCCGATTTCGGATGGCATCGTTTTCGTCTTTCACCTTGCTCAATGCGTAACAGGGTTTAAAAGTCTCAAGCAACTATGGCCTTCCTTGATATCTTTCAGGAACTGAATCTCGAATGGTAAGCCTGAGTAATTATTGTATTTGATGTTTGTTTTTGTTATATCTAATTTCATGAAGTCGAGCACAGTTTATGCGGCAAGTTTTTGCACGTTTGTTAAGATTTGAGTCAATGATCTGATCTAGTATCAGGTTTGATATAAGCTTACAGAACTTTAAAAGGCCTTCAGATATATTTTCTCACGGCAAATAGAAAAAAAACGTTCCGAAGAATATTTAGTTATAAATTTGGTTGTAGAAAGAAAACTTTGAGTGATTTTCTTGCTTCGAGGAGTTCATCTTTGAAAAAAAAAAAAAACACCGGGAGGCCGGCTGAAAGTAAAACAAAATAAACTTAAGCTTAAGCTTTAAGCTTAAAGACTCAGGATTTTTAGAGACACTTTAATACTTGTCTTCGTGAATGAAAATTGTTGTCTCTGTAAATGTTTTACCGAATTATATTTCTTTTATTGATTGTTAGTAGTCTCTCTTGCAATTTTAATCGCTTGTCCGTGGTGTTTGTTTTCATCGTTCATGAACATCGCTTGCAGGAGTACTTAGAAATGTCGCGCGTATCAAACGCTTTATAAGATTACACATCGTTATAACTGGAACCATTAAATAACAAAAAATAATGATAATAAATTCGTTATTATGTTGAAGCGTATCTCCATTAAAGTTCATTCAAACACTCGACCACACTGACAGCTCGCACTAAAAATTAGAACCGGCTGGTCGTATGGGTGATTTTGGAAATTTTTTGAACGGTTTCGCTAAAAGCCAACGATTGATCGTCCTGAACATTGAAAAATTGTGAAATGCCGTATTCTGTCCGAGGTCTGTATGATAAAAAGTACTGTTTCACCTCAGATGTGATGTATAAAAAGTGTAAAAGGTTGGTTTACACACCCTCAGATTTGTTGGCAAGAATTTGTAAAGTAAACCTGTCGAACGCAAAAAAATGCGGCCTGATTTGTTTTCCAAGAATTTGTTTTCGAGGCCTAATCTACTGTGATCAAGAGCCATTATGGCTCTTGAATGTGATAGAAGATGTTTGCTATTTTTTGGGGGTACATACATGTATATCAACTCGATGTAAGATGTTTCACTCTAAAATAACTTATCCTTTCCCTCAAAAGTCACATGAATGTGCCCTTAAGTTAACTGATTTGTGGATTACAAGTTTATTGTTTGATTTAAAATATAATTTATTAATGGGAGCTTCGCTTTTAGCCCTGGCTAAATCTATATATTATATGCTTGGATTTTCCGTAACAGATGGCTTATTCAGAATAACCCCTATTAGATGGGCACTTTTGTCCGTAAGGGCAACCCACCCCCCTCTCCCGGGTTATCAGCTGCAACTAATAGTTTTGCAGCTTCGCAATAAATGATTGTTTTCCCCATTCCTGAGTATGTGCTTGCTTGTGATAGTAATTAAGTAACAAACGGACACTGTCAATATTCCGTGAATTTAGCTGAACAATAGTGTTAACAAAAATAACAAGCCATATTAAAGTAAACCTTCGAGTGTTATGTTATTTTGTTATTATTAATTTTTACAAAAATTATTTTATTATTATTATTTTTTATGAAAATTATTTTTATTTTATCATGTTCCGGGGTGTTCCGGCATGTTCCGAAATGTTCCGTGTTCCCGGTTTTACCGACGCCCATTTCAAAATCGAAAGTGAAAGTCCACGTAATCACGAGCTTCCGTCTGAAAAACAAGTGCTCCCTTTAAAATAGCGGATCGCTCGATGGCAGGGCATTTCGAATTCTAAAAGAAACCTAACTTGCTGGAGTTTGTAATTAGTCGAGAAAAGGTTGAAAATTATGTGTTTATCAAAAAACAAATAAGGGAACGATAAAATAATTACGTCTTGCATTGTACACTCAGGAAGTAGACACACTTTGAAAAAGACAAATAAATCGCTTTCATTGATCCGAAACCGCGTCTTTCGGAGACATTCAAGTTCAAATGAACTTACCTTAACGATGAAGTAGAATAGTCCTCCTAGACTGTAAGCAAATTAGGGAAATTCAAAGTAATTTTCGCACACTAAGCCGCGTCAAGGAAACCGTGGCGTGGCATACTAAGAGACGAGAAAGCTATGCGCTATAAATAACAACTTACGTAGTGGAAGACTGGGCGGAGTAGTGTAGCGGGAGAGGGGCGGGCGGGGGGAGGGGGTCTCAACCACAACTTTGGTCTGTAGGATCAAATAATAGGTAACCTGCGATCAGGCTTTTTTTTTATGATCTCAGGCTAAATAATGGGTTGCGACTGTAGGGGAAGCCCGCCTTATGGTCACCTCGTTATTACGCCCTCCCCCGCTTTTTTTTTGGCCGCCTGGAAAAACGGCCATACATTATTCCTAGATCCTACTAAAAAAAAAAAAAACCTCGTTAATACGGTCGCACCTTTTAATACGGCCAATTTTTTTGGCCAATTGGTGACAGTATTAACGGGGTTCCACTGTATATAACTATTGAGGTTTTGTGTGATAAAGGTGGGTTACAGCGCATTTTGAAGTTGTCTTTTGTTTTGTCTGGGCTATTCTTTCCTTACGTTTCTTNGAGACATTCAAGTTCAAATGAACTTACCTTAACGATGAAGTAGAATAGTCCTCCTAGACTGTAAGCAAATTAGGGAAATTCAAAGTAATTTTCGCACACTAAGCCGCGTCAAGGAAACCGTGGCGTGGCATACTAAGAGACGAGAAAGCTATGCGCTATAAATAACAACTTACGTAGTGGAAGACTGGGCGGAGTAGTGTAGCGGGAGAGGGGCGGGCGGGGGGAGGGGGTCTCAACCACAACTTTGGTCTGTAGGATCAAATAATAGGTAACCTGCGATCAGGCTTTTTTTTTATGATCTCAGGCTAAATAATGGGTTGCGACTGTAGGGGAAGCCCGCCTTATGGTCACCTCGTTATTACGCCCTCCCCCGCTTTTTTTTTGGCCGCCTGGAAAAACGGCCATACATTATTCCTAGATCCTACTAAAAAAAAAAAAAACCTCGTTAATACGGTCGCACCTTTTAATACGGCCAATTTTTTTGGCCAATTGGTGACAGTATTAACGGGGTTCCACTGTATATAACTATTGAGGTTTTGTGTGATAAAGGTGGGTTACAGCGCATTTTGAAGTTGTCTTTTGTTTTGTCTGGGCTATTCTTTCCTTACGTTTCTTTCGGAGATTAGATAGCGCCATTGCAAAGAATCGCAGCTCTCAATGTAGGACGCCAGGAGCCGATTGCCCCCTGAGGACGCATGCTTTTGCGGCCCAGCCTACTCCCTCATAAGCCATGTAAAAACGGGATGACCTGCGGTTTTCTAATATTACTGGTATTCTGCCAAAAAAAAAAACAAACTAAGGGGTTTATTGGTGTTGAAGGAGAGCAAGAGACGAGAAAAAGAATCCTGAATCCGCCCCTGTTTCGGTCTGAAAACGGGTATAGACTTTGCCCATTTTGGTTTGGAATTGCGTATGGTTTTCGAGGTCGGTATGAACGTATTCTCCGTTTCAATTCCAAAAGAGTAACTGATACGAATTTGAAATGGATTTTTTTTTTTTGGCGTTCTAATCTAACAAGTAATGATGACGTAATTTTTGGCTATGTGGGTCTGAACACGGGTACAGATTGTAGCCCCCACCAGGAATTCCAGGGAATAGACCTCCGCCCCGGGTTTTTGCGGCATATATCCAGCGGTGTCTCCAATTTGTCACGCTACAGCCTCGTTTCCACGACTTGTAGTGACGTCACGTCACATGCGGTCACGCTGACTTTTTCTGAGCAAGTCGCCTCCAGAACAACAAATGAGCAGCAAAATTATTTTTACGATTTTTACCTTCACAAGTGCATCGACTTTACATTATATCGTCTCACTGTTTTTATCTGTGGTACTGTGTAGTTCTGGCTGTTTTCAGGGACCTCCTCTGCCTAACAAACCATTTATAACCGTATGGAACACACCTACGGATCGATGTGAACCAGAATGGAACGTCTCTTTAGATCTGAGTGCTTTTGACATCGTGGTGAACAAAGACCAGAGGTGGTGTGGAGAATACATCGTTATATTCTACGACACACAACTTGGATTGTATCCGTATTTTGACAGCAATAGAAAAGCTTTCAACGGTGGTGTACCTCAGGTAGTGGGCTTGTTGTAGGGTTGTTTTTTGGGCTTGCAACTACGTGACAACGTGACAACGGAGAATTTGAGAAAAAAAAAGAAAGAAAGAAAAGGTTAAGATACAAGCGGAGGGAAACGCTTTTGTTATTTGTCAACCAACATGGCAGTCATGAAGTCACCTGCAAATTTGCAGCAGCTAAATTGACAATTCATTAATTTCACCAAGACTTATCCCGAAAAGGAGAAGTAGAGGTTACTAGGCACTAAGCTTTTTCCTTAATTGCAACTCTACTGCCTGGTTAGCTCAGTTGGGAGAGTAGCCTGCAGCTAGTGCAGGCATATTTTGGAAGGGCGAAAGCTGCTTGTTTATGTTCGTGTTGTTGCCGCCGTGATGTTTGATTTTATGACAGAGGAAGATTGGGGAGAGCAGAAATAGTAACCCTTAGAGTAGGTGCTATGGAACTTCTTCCCAATAGCCTTCACTGCAGGCTATTGGGAGAGCATGAGTCTGCCAAGGGGGAGGTTGCAGGTTCAAACCACTCAGGGTCTTTAAATAACTGAGAAGAAAGTGCTGCCCTTCTGTTAGACTTTTTAGTTTTCTCAGATTAGGACGAAAAACTGTACAGGTCCAGGTTCACAACACTTTCACTTATCTGGTTCTTGTGGGATGTAAAAGAACCCACACCACTGTTCGAAAAGAGTGAGGGGACATACATGTACATGTAGACCCCGGTGGGTTGACAAACCTTTCCTGGACTGGGTGAGTTATCTGTAAGGAGAGATCTTACCATAGCGATTCCTCCTTTAGGAGTCGCAATGGCTACCTGCAAACAATGTAACTGTACGTGTGCAGGGCTGTCATTAAGAGGCGGGGGCTGGGGATTCCCCCGGCTACTATGAACATGGCCCCCTGCTACTTTCAAAGGAAAATAAAAGAAAAATGGATCCAAAAGAAACCTCTAGCTATTTGGTTCCCCGCCTACTTGTTGTATTTATACCCTGCAACTTGAAATCTTAGTGACAACCCTGCATGTGTGCCGGCTTTAAGGTACACAATGGTCTTTTTTTTCTTTTTATGTGATAGCTTGGAAATCTTACAGCACACTTATTAAAAGTAGAGCAAGATGTAGCAAATATCATTCCTGATAATGAATTTCAAGGTATTGGTGTGATTGACTGGGAATACTGGAGACCTGTGTTTGACAGAAACTGGGATAAACTCTCCATCTATAGGTCTGTCAGAATTTTGTTTTGTCTTGAAATAGTTGAACACTTTGATTGGTGAGCCTCTATATTGGGTATTTCCAAAGAAATCAAAGTCGCGACACTTGCTGTTGATGAAGCAAAGATCTTAGGGATTAAAGCATGGATCACATTCCTATTCCAATCAAGACTTGTAAAAATCTGCCCAAAAACTGTGCTGCACAATCAGAGTTTTTGCTTTGCTTATTAAAACTGTTGCTCTCTTGATTTTCTCGTTTCCAATGCGTTGTGGTTGCACTAAGCTCACTAGTAGCATAATTTACCACACAAAATTTGTTCTCGATATTATTGAATATTTCACCCGAAAAAAAGCTAATTTGATGGGAAGCACATGACAAAATTGGCATCCACAGGTACCCAATCAGAGGCTCATTACAGGTATTCTACATGTCTAATATTAATCTAAGATAGACTTGGTTTTGTTTTTCTTCAGTGAAGAATTTCAATAATTAAAATTTGTCCAATTCACTTTTGCCAGTTTATTTTCACAAAATCAGAGAAGATCAAGATTAATTTGAATTTTTGGTGTTATTGAGATCTTGTTACTGCAACACCTAATTCCATGTCCTTGCATGAGACCAACCTACAAACCTTACGTGAATAATTTACAGAACTTTATGAATGACTGATTGATTGAATGAATGAATGATTGATTTATTTATCTAAAATCAGAATCAATCAATCAAAATCAAACTCATTCATTCCATCAATCAATTGATTCGATGGAATGAATTAATGAATGAATGAAAAGAAAGAAAATGATTATTTTATGATCAAATTTGTCCTTGTTAATTCTGAAGTTGGGTATAAACAGGCACTAGCACTTGAGTGATGCAAAATGATAATTACAAAATTGATTATTTTTCAATTCATAGGAACAAGTCTATGGAACTGGTCAAACAGAGACACCCTTTGTGGCCAGATAGTTTAGTTGAAGACATAGCTAGAGTTGAGTTTGAAACAGCAGCCCAAGAATTCATGGAAGAAACTTTGCTGCTTGTTCAGAAACTTCGCCCAAAGTCCTTGTGGGGATTTTATGGATTTCCAAATTGTTACAATGACAAAGATGCTGACAATTGCAGTCAAGTCACCATGAAGTACAATGATCAAATTTCTTGGTTGTTTGAGTGGAGTTCAGTGCTGTTTCCATCAATATATCTTCACGACAAGGCAAAACTGAATGGCACATTGTTTGTGAAGTACAGGCTTCTGGAAAGCTTTAGATTCGCTAAGAAGTTGGATGGAAGCCCCATTCCTGTGTTCCCGTATGTTCGAATAACATATGCAGTATCTCAGGTGTACCTCAATGTGGTAAGTCAATTAATGTTTATCCTCAGCAGTATTTTTATATGAGCACTAGTGCTTAGCAAGGTTAGGTAAATGCCTGAAACAAATAATTTCAATCAAACATGATGGTGTTAAGACCCCAACTCGCCTAAGGCAAACCAGCTGGCTACATTGTATTTACAAG